AAGGCAGAATTAAACAGTATTAAAAATATGCTGCAGAAACACAACAACAAACAACAGCTGAGCTAAGAAGCAATGACATGCTATAACAGTATGCATGAAATTTTTGAAAATGAAATTTTAATAGATAAGCTGGGAAGAAGTTAAGAAAATGTTTAAATTTATATTTTGTTACCTACTTCACCGATTTGAAATCTGAAAACTATACCTTTCATGAGCACGAAATGGTATTATAACTTAGGTCCGATATTTGTATATATGTGACCAGAACATCGAGCTGAGCCGACTAGACGGAAGGCACGCTTCCAGTGTTTTAGACACTCCGAGGCCCAAACATCGACTCGGACCACTATCTTGTTGCAGCCAAGATACGCTCCCGCCTCTGTGCAGCAAAAAATGTGCGCCCAAATATGCAAGGAAAGCTTAACGTCGAAAAGATGCAATCACAACATACAGCCAGCGCTTTCGCTACTCGACACTTACATCTGCCCTCAGAGAGCACTCTTCAACAAACCGACATATGCGAGCAGTAGAACCACATTTCCCGCTCATTAAGTACCGCCGCCGGAGAAGTAGTCGGATTTCAGCGACTGATTTTGTTAGACTTTTCATAAGTAAAAATTTTTATGAATATTACTTTACTCATGAATTATATCACATTTTTTCTTTGATTGCATTTTTGGAATAAACAAAGTTCTTTTTCCTTCAATCAGTAAAGTGTTTTTGTTACAAATAGTATAAATAAGCAATGGGAAATAAGGCAAAATTTGTTTTATTTCCAACCTTTGTTGGAAATAAAGCAAAACTCAGATTTTGGTATTATATCCTATTTAAAAGTGAAATAAAGCAAATTTTGCGTTATTGCCGTTTGTGTTCTTTGTTTATATCGAATAAGCCGGTCGCTTTTTAAGTTTTTAACAATTAAACTATTTAATTTTATTTTGATATCCTAATATTAGAAACGTTCCAGTTTTTCAAGACCCGGTCACTCTTTGCACATGGCTGTCAGAGAGCAGTAATAAGCAACAATAAAGTATGTTGGCACCGTGATTAAATTATTCACAGGATTTGTCTTACCAGAGAGTTTTGCTCCACATCGAAATTCCTGCTCTTTTATTCTCATTCGTTATTTTCTAAGTATTGCGAATAAAACTGCGCACTTAAATTTAAGACATTCATAACAAAAATTGTATTAAAAAAATCCCCGCTACACTGAAAATAAAATCTGCGTAAATATAACGAAAACTTGCGTACATTTTACGAAAGTTTTCGTAATTTTGAGCCACGAAAGTTTTCGTTTATTGTACAAAACCGTTTTCGTACATACTACGTAAATATGAGCATCAGATCTTAGTACATTTTACGAACGTATTCGTACTATTTACGAACGAATTTCTTACTACTTACTAAAGAATTTCGTACTATTTCTTTGTTTTTTTTACGAAATTTTTGTAAAATGCACAAAATAGTTCGTATATTTAAAGAAATTATTTTCCTAAAAACTGCGGTTGTTTCGTAGAACTTCCGATTGCTTTCATTCACCACACTGTAAAAAACATAAGACGAATTATAAAACAACACTTTTATTTTGCTTTTGTTCCTAATTTTAAGCGTTTTTCTTTAACAAAATGTTTGCAATGTTTTTATGTGGAGGTACTTGGCAGGTTCGTAGCTTCTTCGATGTTTGTTTCCTTTCTCGACTACAAATTAAAGGAAAATTATAAGGCAAGTTTCAGTGAAAAATCGTACATATACTTACTTAAAATTTCATTAAGTAGTGCGTCTGTTCCTGGCTTGGGCTTGCCGTTGCTAGTTAACTGATTAAATTGCCTATTTATGAAGTCCCACATTGCAGAGCAAGGCTCAGCGAGGGCGAGGTTAAAAACATTGTATGCTTAAAAGCATTTATCCACAGCTTTAGCATTTAATTTTATATCGTATTTTTATCCAGCAAAAGCTTCTTAAACTTTTAAAAGTATATTGTACGTCTCACAGTAGCCAACCAGTATTTTCGCAATGACACGCAGTACATAAAAATATGATGAAGTATTAAACTGACGGTAATTTAGTATATTGTACGAAAATATTCGTCTGTTGTACGAATTAAAAAAAAAATGTTTCTGCATTTGTTCGAAAGTATTAAGTAAATTGTACGAATACAGAATTGTAGATTTGGTAAATTTTAAAACCATATGTAAATATTACGAATACCTTCGTACAATATACAAAATTATTCGTCCAGAGATTTGTTCAGTAATTTACGAATGTGTTTCGTAAAATAAACGAAAGATTTCGTAAATTGTACTGAAAAAAGGCTTTACGAAAGCCCTTCGTTATATTTACGAATGGTTCGTAAAATCTTGTTTCGTTGTGAACAATTTGTTCGTATTATGAACATAAGTTTCATACATAGTACAAAAACCAACACTACGAAAATTTTTCGGAGCACTTTTACGAAATTTTATTTTCAGTGTACGTTCTTTGGAAAAAATAAGTGACCCAAATATAGACTGGGACGCAAAATTACGCAAGGTTTGGCTATTTTAGTTTATTATTTGTTTTATGAAAATATAGCTGATTACTTAAAACGTACCATGTAAATTATAATTTCAGAATTTATGATATAACTGAACGAGATATAGCGTTGATACAAAATTATAGTCAAACTTTGACAAAATACGAAGAACAAGCAATTTACTTTGCAAGTAATACAATGTCAATTAAATAATTTAAAAAGAAATAGTCAAAACTTGTTAACATGTGGCGGTCTTATAATTATACAACACGGTGTACTATTAAATTGTTTGGATTGTGTTTAGAAAAATTTTGAATCGTTAATTTATTCGTTATTTATGTGTTAAAATAAATGTACAATTTTTTTTGTGTTTTCAATGTGGAGAATTTGTCCTGCTGGAATGTTAAAAAATTCTGGTCACCTCAGCAATAAACGATACATACAAAATTGCTCGTTTTCATCAGAATACGAAAACAGCTAAGCGCGAAAGCTGTTACGTTGACGGTGACGGAGACATCACGTCAATTTGTTTACGAAATCCTTCCTACTTGTAATATATATACACTAGCAAATCCCGGCGCGCGTTGCTACCCCAAAGAAAGATACAAGTTGTGTAAATATATAAATTTTGTGGTGTCCCAACTCGTGAACAGGCGACGTATAATTGGCCATGTGAAAAGCACAAATTTTTCAAATCCAAACCCGCGATAGTTAATGATTACCCTTGTGCTTTATTTATAGTTATTGCAAAGCGCAAGACACAAAGGGAATTAAAGCCGCTTGAATTCGAACGGTAAATCGTTGGAAATCATCGGTTTACGTGGAATCAGCACATCGATCCAATTCGGTGTTAATATTTTTGTTATCACTCTGGTTCCGTTGCACAGTTTTGGCGCGTTCAAGTTCCGAATAAGTATCAGAATTATAGTAGAATTAAGAAATTCAGTTGGGTAATTAACAGCTTGATCTTTGTCCATTACTGTATCAATCGATTTATATTCGACTGCTTCTCCTGGAATTTTCAATTGAATTTGCCTGTTTAATTTACAACATTATCGTTCTTCGGAGCTAAAATTCCACGTTCGCGGATCCATTCCGTATTTCGGTAGTTGATCGCAAAGTTCGGAAATACTCAGTCGATGACGTCTTCAATGCTCTGCTGCATTTGACAAAAGTTGGAAGGAAATGATATCTCATTTGTTGTGCGATCAGTAGGAACCTCACCGTTACCGATATCAAAAAGTTACTTCGAAAATATTTGGGCAGACGTATCTTGCAGCAAACGCTCTCGCATATTTGTTGTGAGCGTAATTTTTTCGACATGGTTCTACAGACGCGATGCCTTTAAGCACGTGTTCAGCTCGTCTGCAGGCATTGATCGTGGTATAACGGGTAATCTTTGACGAAAATCACCTACAAGGAGTTCAAGAGCGCCTCCTCTCGGTTGGTCGTTTCCACGAAAATCTCAAAGGGTTCGGTCAAGTGCTTCGAGCGATTTCTTATGTGCCATGGTGCATTCGTCCCAAATTATAATTTTGCACGTTTTAAGGACTATGGCCATACCAAAGCTTTTGCTGATGTTGCATGTAGTTTCGGTCTGGTTCAAATTCAATGGAAGCTTAAGTGCTGAATGCGCTGTACGTCCGCCATCAAGTAGTGTTGATGCAGTCCCCGATGATGGTATTGCTACTGCAATCCGATTTCGCACTCGAACTGTCGCCGATATTAATTTGATGAGGAAAGTTTTCCCGGTACCTCCTGGAGCATCTAGGAAGATAATTCCGCCATCTCTTTTGGTTACACGTTGCATGATTTTGTCATAAGCTTTTTTTCTGACCAGCAACTAAAACTATTTTTGTGTTTGCACAAATCGTTCAAGCTGATTTGCATCGAACTGCTGTTCTCGCATCAAGTCTCTAACTTGTACAGCATTTCTATCTCGTGTCGCTGCTGGCATACCACGTTGACAAAGAGCTTTGTTGTTGATTGACATGCATAAGTCCTCCATTAATATTAAAGCTTCATTGAAAATGTTATCCGAATATTCCTGATGTGGATCGCTTGCACGTGCTTGTCTTACAATATCTTCACTGAGGCTTTTACGACGCATTTCCCACAGTTGTCGAGGATTCGATGGTGCACATGTTGTTAAAATTATCGCAAACAAAGTTCGCATTTTGCTTTGGATGGCACTTGAGTGATGCTTCGGTCAGAGTTGTATTCCAATTCTGATCATTCTCAAGTAAGGCCAGTTTAAAGCACGATTCTCTGTACGTTTATATATTCTACTCCGTCGATGGTTTTCAATGCAAGTATACATGTGTACACTCTATACGGTAATTGGTCTTGACTGAAACATTTCCCAATAGCTCCCGTTTGATACGTATCCTGCGAAATACTTTTTAATACACACATTATTATTATTATTATTATTATGGGCCATATGCACCGCGACCTCTAAAGTGGTCTATTGTGCGTGGCCCCCGGCCTATAAGGGAAGGCTCTTAATGTAGCCTAGCACCTCCAAGGGCGTTTTGTTCCAAATTTCAAATGGATTAAGGGTAGCGCCACCAAAGTGGGCTAGTCTGCGCCTAGCGAGAGCATCACATTCACAGAGAATGTGTTCTGGCGTTTCTTCGTCCAGCTCACAGAAGCGACAGACGCTTGTTTCTGAAAGATTGATTTTACTGAGGTGGTAACGAAGAGAACAGTGTCCCGTGTAGTACCCAGTAAGAGTTTTGAGGTCCTCTCTGCCTAAATTGATTAGTTTCTTTGAAACTTCGTTTGAAGGGCAGATAAATCGTTTGGCTTGTCTTTGCCCTGGACATTCCATCCAATGCCTGTTGAACATTTTGTCTACCCAGTTATTCATGGTCCCCTTTATATGTGCTTTGGTGAGCCCACAAAAGGGTTCCGGACCATAAAATACTGCGGCAGCTCCCTGTTTCGCTAGGCAGTCAGCCTCCTCATTGCCATCATGTCCCTCATGCCCTGGTACCCATCCTAATAAGACTGTATTCTTGTCACCAAGAGCATTTAGGACATTGCGGCAATCATGTACTAGCTGAGAACTTATTTTGTGGGACTTCAGGGCCAGTAGGGCTGCCTGACTGTCCGACATAATGCAGATATATTTCGATGACGTTCCCCTTCTGAGACATTCTCTGCCACAAATTTCTATTGCATGAATCTCCGCCTGAAAGATGGTGGGGTAGCTACCCATTGGTATCATTTTTTTTAAAGTTCGGCCCAAAAATGCCAGCCCCCGTTCTACCATTTTCAAGCTTAGATCCATCAGTATACTAAACCTCCCCATTGGGTTTGGTGTATGGGTTCCCTGTATTCCAGAGAGCTCGATCTGCAATGTGTACCTCAAATTTCCTAGAGATTTCTAGTGCATCGCGCATTTGTAGTATGGGGTCATTAGCGAATTTCATTAGGACCTTCATGTGACCCGTCATATCTCCGATTTTCAGGTCGGAGGTGTTCAGGATTCTCAGTGCCGCTGTGGTAGCCTCCCTTTCTATTAAAATAGGAAAGGGAGGTATTCCAACCAGGGCGCTGAGTGCATCGGCCGGGCAGGTCTTCATAGCTCCTGTTATGCCAATGCAGACTATTCTGTGCAATTTACTTAGCTTAGTGCTTGCACCTCTTTGTGTAGCCTTAGTCCACCATGCTAAGGAAACATAGGTTACTATTGGCTTAACGACAGTGTTGAATGACCAGTAGGTCATTTTGGGGGTAAGGCCCCATGTTTTACCAAAAAGTCGTGAACAGGCAAAGAAGGCCTTCATCGCCTTGTTGATAACAGTGTCCAAATGTGCATTCCAGTTAAGTGTTTTATCAAGAGTTACTCCCAGATATTTAGCTTCACTGGAAAATTCTATTTCTGTGCCGCTCAAAGTAAGTTTAGTAGTAGATAATTTCCTCCTTCGAGTGAATGGAACAATAATAGTCTTTGTAGGATTGATGGTTAGGCCTTTATCCTCACACCATTTGTGTGTGATACGTAGGGCTTGTTGCATGCGGTTGGTGATAGTTTCGTCATGAAGCCCTGTTATGCAGATTACCAGATCATCTGCGTAGCCTTGCGTATTAAAGCCTTGGCTGTTCAGTGTGAAAAGGAGTTCGTCTACAACCATAGTCCACAAAAGAGGAGAGAGTACACCCCCCTGAGGGCATCCTCTTGTGGCTGTTATCGATTCTATCGTGCCTCCTAATTCCAACCTGATGTTTTGTGTTCTTAACATTGATAACACCCATTGATTTATGATTGGGCTTACACCCTTTCTTAACAAGGCATCTTTTATTGCCTTATATGATGTGTTATCAAAAGCCCCTGAAATATCAATAAAGGCGCAAAGGGCTATATTTTTTGACTCCAGAGCCTTCTCAATTTTTGAAGTAAGGCTATGAATGGCAGTCTCAGTGGATTTTCCTGGTTGATAGGCAAATTGGTTCTTATTCAGAGGTCGTTCCCTTAGGTTGACTTCTCTGATGTACTGATCCAGTATTTTCTCCATGCCTTTTAGAAGAAAGGAACTGAGGCTAATTGGTCGGTAGGATGACGGTAATTGTTCCGGCTTACCCATTTTGGGTAGAAACACGACCTTAACCTCAGACCATATGCTGGGAATGTGACCCAACAAGAGCGAAGCTCTATAGAGTTTAGAAAGGACCGGCGCTATGTGTCTAATTCCATGCTGCAGGAGACATGGATAGATTCCATCCGGTCCTGGTGATTTGTATGGGCTGAATGTTGATAAAGCCCATTGCACCCGCTCGACAGTGGTCAGCTTCGTAGCAAGGCTTTGTTCTCTTCCAGAGGTGGATGTTGGAGCACCCAATTCTGGTCGACAGTAGCCTGATATACAGCGCGGGAAGTGAGTATCCAGCAAGAGTCTGCTGGTCTCACCCGGATGCTGAGTGTAGCTCCCATCTGGTCTCTTGAGGGTGCCAATTGTATTCCTGTAATCCCTTGTTAGAGCTTTTTGGAGGCGTACTGCCTCTGGAAGGCTATTTATTTCCTCACAGTGGTTTCGCCAGCTAGCTCGTTTGGATTTCCTTAGCTCCTTGTTGTAGGAAGTTACCGCAAGTTTATACGGATTCCAATCACCCGTATTTTTTGCTCTATTGAATAGTCTTCTGGCCTGGTATCTCATTTGCTCAAGCTTCTTACTCCACCAAGGCACATCTCGTTTGGATTTTACCTTTCCTTGGGGGCAACTGCTGTTGAAAGCTATTACAATATCTGAGTGAAGCTGTTCAGCTTCATTCTCAAGCTCCTGTTTGGTTGTAATGGGGTGTTTGGGGCTGTTTCCGCCCTCTTCTATAGTAAAGCGGAAGAGTTCCCAGTTCGTTTTCCTGGGATTTCTGAAAACTAGTTCGTGTTCAGGAAAGAGACCCATGTCGAATTCTATATGCATGTGGTCCGACATT